TTTGTCCCATTGTATGATCTATTGTCGGCGCGTCAGCACACTATGTGAAACGTGTGTCTGAATGGCATATACACACTGAGGCGATAGGTTGAATGAAGGTGTAAGCAGATGGGGAGATATCGTATGAATTGACGTTTACATACAAGAGATGTTTTGCTGCAGATGAAGGCAATTTGATAGCGGAGATATGCACACATACATAAACAAATGAATTATTCGCAACAATTGCAAATAGACAGACGAATAGAGCTGGTCGTACCAAATGAGCAGCTGTAGGAAGAAGCGGATGAGAATGGGCGTAAAAGTGAATGAAGACATTCACTTCAATTTCATCCGCCATTTGAAAGTGCAGCCCATTCATCCACTTGGCAGACTGGCGAATGAGCACTTGGTTCTGATGTCTGAAACCGGAATGGTGAAGGAAAAAATCTTTGTCTGCTCTTGCCCGGTATCGGTACCGGTACCGGTGGGGCATGGAGCAGAGTTCGCAGACCATCTGGGCTCGTGGAAGTATGTACAGAACGCAGAAAGGTGGGTGGGGTGGGGACGGTTAAGCGTCTAGAGTGGCCGAATCTGAGGATCCAGCCATCATTTGAGGCTGTTTGTAGCTTTTGGAGGAGGCAGATGGGCTCAAAGGAAGCCGGGGTGTAGATGCACCATGGTAGGTTCGGCCAACAGGCCACAAGGGTCTCGAACCCGACGTCTTTGCCGGCGAGTTGCGCGATCGCTCGGCTGGTACCATTGTTTGCCCGGCCTCTGTCTCGCCAACACGAGTTCCTCTTCTCCGACCATGCCGAGGCGGCCAAAATCCGACCGCCTGATTGGCTCAAATTGGCCCACTGCATCGCCCTGATTGGCTCGCCCCGTTCTCCCAGACCCCTGGCCCCGGGCCCTCTGATTGGCTGCCGTCCCCTCGGCCCGGTTGGGCGTCAAGACGGTCTCTTTTTCCGGTTCTTTCTTCTCCTTTCTCGCCCCTTGGCGGCGCCAGTTCATGTTGGCATCGGCGTCAGATCGGCCGGAAATGGATTGGTCCAGAAGCGGAGGCGAGAAATGGCACGAACGACTCAGACGCAAGCACTGTTGCCTGTACCGATGGTGCCGGTGTCGTAGAATCTGCCGAGGTCGGGCATTCTCTTTGCCGGAATCCTGTATGTGACCATACAGAAGACGTCTGTGCGCTAAGCGATGAAAATGCAACTGTTCATCTGGCCGTTGAGCGGCCGAATTTCCCTGACGTCTGTGAGAACAGAGTCCAGGCGATGACGAACAGACCGGCCATGGCTTTGGTAGACTTGAAGGCCTGGCCCGATAGCAGGAAGAGGCGGAGGATGACAGAGACGGCGGCGAGGATGATGATGATGATGATGACAAGGAGGGGGAGGAGGAGGAGGAAATCTGAGAGGTAGGCAGCCCTGGGAACTGTGATACCGGAAGTCGGTCGGACAGTCTATCGGCGGAGGGGAGGACGCCTCTGGCGGGAGGGGAAGTGGGCTCATGTGTCGTTGGGTCACATGTTATTCGTTTGTCCGATACATGTTCCTCCTTGAGGCCATAGTGAAGCGGAATCTTGGTAGATTTCTGCTGGTCGGTCGAGGTGTGTGAGCGACTGTGGTGGCGCTTTAACGGGCCAATGGTCGTGTGAAAGCATTCACCGTCCGAATGATGTGTCGTCCACGAAGGTTGATCGTGGGACAGAAGAAGATCGTGGATCAGAAGAGGCCGAAGATCATGATTGTGCTGATCCGATGGTAATGCCGAATGCGTCGGAGGCGTGGGCAGCACTTTGGACGACGACAGGAGTTCACCGCAACTGGAAACTGTCTTTTTCGAGTCGAACTGTTCAAGAGACGACGAGATCGGCTACAAGGTTGTGCACAAAAGACGAGAATTTATTTCGATTTAAGGCGATTTAAGGTAGAATAGTCGAGCTTTACTACGCTGCAATCACTAGGTCCAGTAATAACATTAACTTTCATTAAAATATGTTGCATAAAAGGTTATCTCACCCAGCTTGTGCATTAGTCGGGTCTCATCAGAAAGCAAAACGTTACTCGAAGTATTTCTTCCCCTCATAGGCGAGGATACCAACTAGCCAGTGAGTAGAGGTTACTTTTAAGATAAAACAGTCCTTATTAGTGGATTGTAGATCATTAACGGTCATATTTGTCATTAAAATCGACGATGTTACTTATATTTAAAATAAGTATGCTGTGTTTAGGTTAAAAGTAACTATGTGAAGAAAAGTTGGGTTTCGAGGAATATTTTGTTTCGTAATTGTTGAAGTTACTTCCATTTTGAGGGAAAGTGTTGACTGAAGAGATTCGAAGCTCGGTTTCGCCAGAAGACGACGACGGGTTCCTCTTGACCAGATTCATGCTGATGATGTATCCGAGTTAATCTCCTTCGATTCATGTGAAAAGGTGCTAAACATTCGTCCGTCATATGAAGAACATCATCAGAACATGTTATCATCGTTGCAACCAAATGCAAGCTAATTGGTCAAGAAAACTCACCGGCAAATCCCTAAAAAGCGGTATACATACGTTATATCTGGCCTATTTGATGAGGTATACAGTGATGTGGTTAGTTACGGTTACATGTTTACTTCGAAGCCTGTGAGTGTGTCTGTCTCTGCCTGTGTATGTATATGTGCCTGTTTCTGTTCGCTTATGCCTCTTTGATCATCAGTTTTCTTGACTTGTTAGCTTGAATTTGGTTGTGACGAAGATACCATGCTCTGATGATGTTCGTCATTTGACGGGCGAAAGCTTAGCACCTTTTCACCGGATTCGAGCCAATCGACAGCTGGTCAAGAGGAACCGACCTTCGAATCTCTTCCCCCAACTCTTTCACTCGAAATGGAAGTAGATTCGACAATAAAGGTAACTATTAGGTCTTAAATCCCATTAACCAACCTAGCATGACTGTGTGATTTTTCAAGAACGACTCATAATTTAGCATCATACCCATGCAAGATGTACTGGTTGTCTTGAAAGCCTACATTGAAACGAAGCTAATTAATGTGGTCAATTGTGATTACAAATACATTTTCGCCTCATCGACGTTTCCATTACAGAACGTTACATGAGCAAGGCTCGAACTTATTTAAAATTCTCCTCTGCCTTAGCAACCAAGGGCGTTCGTGGCAGTCTGGCGTAGTGATTTGCTCGGGTTCGAGTCCCGCTGGGGGTTTTGTTGCGACCAGTCTGGGCAAGATCAAAACTCGGCGGTCGGCTCCTGCCTGGATACCTTTCTGCAATCTTTAATGCAAATGTTAGGCCTATTCAACTGATTGTGGTAGAATTCAACTAACCTAGTCCTTCATCCGCATTAACGAAATCGGGGGAATTCATTAGTTCAATTCCTCTGTTAAGCTCATCAAGTTAGTCAGGAAAAGATTCAGAATCACTCAATCCCAGTCATTTATTTCATTGGGACATCAAAGCTGGATGAACCCTAATTGACGTTAGGCTACGGCTGGAGGTTATTTATCAAAAATTACACGAGTCTAGACCAAACTACAAATACTTAAACTGGCAAATATTTATTACAAATAAATAAATAAGTATATATATATATATATATATATATACTCGAATAAATTCAATTTCATCCCATCATCGTTGTGCTGACGTTCATTCCGAGTCAAAGTGCACATGATGAAGAGATTTGAAGACGACGTTGGATTCCTCTTGGCCAGCTGTCGAATGACTTTAATGGAACATTCTGTCCGACACTATTCGTGGCAATCTCATTCGATTCCGATGAAAGCGTGCTAAGCCTTTTTTCCCTATAAGTAGAGTTTCGGGACTACCAGTAAATCAGTAGTATGAGATGTATTCACCTTATTGCGTTTAAGGTGAAGAAGGATGCTAGTAGCCTTTTCCCACAATAATATGAGTAGTGCGGACGTTTCCAATGAATTTCACATGGCTTTAATTTCCCAAAATGTTGTTCTCATCCAGGATGGACTGCAGTTTCGACCTCGCCCAGTTCCAATCAACACCTCCGGCGGGACTCGAACCGTGACAGTGCAGTATGTGAGCTTGCCACGTCAACCACCACGTTTGCTTCGTGTAAAATCCCACCAAAGAATGTGATATGTGAAAAGGCCTGTCCTCCCTTGAAATTCACATCTGACCTGTGAGCCAAAAGCACTCGTGGCAATGTAGCCGAGTAGTCTGCGTGTCAAGCTCACATGCTGTACTGTGACTGTCTGAGTCCTGCTGGGGGTGTTGCTAAGACCGATGCGAGGTCGAAACTGCAGTCCACTGGTGGCTGGATGTGAACAACATTTGGGAAAGCAAGGCTATGTGAAATTCAATGGAAACGTCAGCTCTACACATAGAATTATGTGAAAATTCTACTACCAGTCCGAATAGGGTGAATACATCTCATATGTGCTGAGCTTTTGTTTTTCACATCCCACATCTCTGTAGAGTTGAGAAGCATTTTTACAACCATATTACACCGAACCAGTCGAGATAGCCAACTTTATTTTTCTTGAATGGCACATATGCATCAAATCTTATCAATTCTGATGAGGTGTACAGTGAATGAGTTACTTAAAGTGTGTCTCTGTGCGCATATGTGCCCTTTGTGGATAGAATCCAGGCTCGAATCACTTCATTACACATTTTCACTCGAAAGGAAAGTAAGCTTTCTAATTAGCAAGTAAGAGATAACCGTACATCCAGTTTTATTTTCATTTTTGACTCAAAATTCCGCAGAGTTATACCATTCCACCACTTTGCATTCTCTTAACTGGCCTAAAAAAGTTACATTTTTTACCTATTTTAAAGCACTGTCACCATTTTGAGCTTAAAGAAGAATGTCGTTGAAACATTTTCAGTGTGGTCTCATTCTGTTTCCAACTTAATGGACAAGCCTGAAGTCTTGAGTTGAGACTGTGATGGATTATTGTGGTAGGGGTACTTTGTAAGAAGATAAGCAGCAGACTTCACACGCCGTCAAGGTCAGCAGCCTCAAGGCATTCCAGATTGTCTGGGCAGAAAGCTTGACAAAATGTGTCTCCAACTCATACCTCGGCCGTTATGATAAATGTCAGCCTTTTATTGGTCAAAAATTTCAACTAATCACCGCTTGTGTGCGTCTTTTGTGGTAGGGAGGTATGAAAATATTGCGCTGAGAGGCTAAAAAAAGAGAGATCCCCACACCGAAACATGTACAGATTTAGGTAGGTATGCATGTGCGCATTCACGAAGCAGATTTAGTTATACACAATCCAAGAGAATCTCACGCTTAGCATACATCCTGGAAATAATATTGCTCTGTAGGCTGAAATGCCGTCATGACGGTTACACAGTCAAAATGAGTGTATTTAAGAGCTACCGTGCAGACGGCAACAATGTGGCCCTGGGAACCAAAGCCAGTTAGACCAAAGCACATAGCTTTCTAGTTTTTTGCTTTTTGACAGAGTTAAAAAATAATGACTCTTTACTGAAAGCACAGCCAGAGCCGCAGTCCACTTTTGGTGCACCAGAAACAGTCCTGGAAATGCAAACCAGTTTTCCGAAAATCACATTCCGTTTAACGCTGAACTGTTTGCAGCGAAAGCATATTAATTCTTATGAGTGGATCAACTTTATAACCTTGAGACGCTAAAGCAACCTGTACTAAACTTCTTAAATAAAGATCTGCCATTATTGAAGGTTCACTACTGACGTCGAATTCAGTAGTAATATGAGGTTTCGACTCAAAAAGTGGGAAGTGAGCGAAATTTGAAAAATAGAATGAAGCTGAGCTTTAAACAAACTGAAAGGTGTACCATAAAACTTAACATGCTGTCATAGTTGTATGAGCCTAGTTAGCATCGTACATAATCAGTAACTTGTAGGACAGATGAGAATCCAAGTGGGAGGACTGATGAGATCAGACAGGTTGCGGAAGAGAGTTAAGTTAAATCAGACGACGGAAGCATTTTCGAGTCGGTGAAATAAAGATGAAAAAGTGGATTTTTTGGAACACGTTTGTGGTCCATTTGATGAGTATCTTCACTAGATGAAAAAGAGCGTGAAAGGGCCTGTGAATTATAGCATGAGTTGAGTTGAGATGATAATTATGGTAGTTTTAGCCGACATTTGCTACGATCGCCGTAGTTTCTAATCCCGTCTTTCTTAAATCACCTGATTCAAGAATTACTGATAGTCTCTACAGCTTTTTAAGCCGATAATAAGTAATGTCAAACTTTGCTTATTCGACAATTCCGCTATAAAAAAAAGTGATTTACGAGAGGTCTGGTTTGACGTGAATCTCGCCTATTGCCAAATGACACCCTTGGCTTTGTGTCGGAGGGGTAGGTCGCAACGACCCTTACCACTCGGTATCTAATCCCGTTCGAGGTGCTGATGATGATGCTGATTGCTATGCGAGTTAACAACTGCAGTCCATCATACTTAAGGCATACTCATTTTATTTTGAGAAAGTTCGTTTAAACTTTCTTATTAAAAATCTATCTATAGTATAGAAGCATAGTTAATACGATTATGAGTAATGTGACGGTTACAATGACGAATAAGACGTTGCTTCGTTCATAGAAGTAGAAGTTATGAAGAATCTGGTCTACTTTGCAAGCCAATTCTGCCATTATAGCCATAACTGGTGGTGTCTGGTCAACGTTGTGGTCACACATTACAAGTTGACTTAAGAGGGACTCGGACTTAGTCCCGTTCGGGAGTTGATGAGATTCAGGCCAGGTGGAAACTAGATCATTTAATTCAATTTAAGTCCCTTAAGTTAACTCAAAAGCCTACTAGGTCAAGTGAAACGAAACCCTTATTAGCATTGTTCAGAGGTGATCAACAGTTTTCTCAACAGACCTACGGTCAACATCCTCCAACTGTTGAAATCCCAATTGACTTTGAGTGTGAAGGAGCAATCGGCTGCTGATGGTTCACTGTTTTGAAGATGTCTTAAAGAGGCGATTGTAAATCTTATAAAAACGCAAAATGCTTAATTTAATATTCTGATCCGATCTCGTGTGAACTTATGAGCGGATCGAGCTTAGATGGCTTCAGCTTCATTACTTTTTAATTTTTTTCTATTTGGTCACTAGGAGAGGCATAACAGCTTATTTTTTCCTATCATACCTTCTGATTCATCCCCATGTCCTGATTCCAACAGATTTCCTCCTTGCTCCTATCATCTGGCAGCTCAGTCCAGTCCTGAATGGCCGCAAGTGGCGGCTTTGCGGCCGAAATCACCGGATCACGATCCGGCAGATGAGCAGACCTCTGCGACGATTGTTCTGCTACAGAGGACAGGGCAGATGCGCTGGAAGTCCTCAGTTGGCAAGCAGTTGTACAGGCAACTGGTGAGTCTGGCACAAGCAGCTTAGTGTGCTGAAGGTGTGAATGACAGGCTGTGCCGGCCGAGGGAAGTGTGGATTCGGCAGCACTGACAGCGACGCCGGCTTTGGCAGCCGATTCAAGGCAAATGTGGCTGGCGAGACGTTGCAGCTTCTTTTTCACACGCAACGCGGTCACTCGAGCCCCGGGATTCGGATGCCAGCACTCAGACAACACACCCGCCAACCCGGCAAGCAGGAGGGGTACAGGTTTAGATGGCGTTTGGCAAGAGGAAGCTGGAAATTCTTGTGCTACCCGTCTTGGACGCATCCTGCTCACTTCAGCTTCGTCCACATTCACCGTGTACCCCTCTTCTTCGTCTTCTTCTCTTTCAAATCTATCTTCCTCTCCACCGATACCCTTTCCGACTGCATCATCTACTTCGTAATCGTCCTCGCAACTGCGACTAACGCCGCTATCACTCCGGCTGTGCTTGGTAGTAGCGAATCGTTCGGAGCTAGGACAAACTGAGGTAAGGTCTTCTGAAAAATGCGGTTTGAGGAGGAGGATATGGCGGGCAAATAGTATACAAATGTCAATTTAAGTCTGTTTATAAACATGTCAACTGTAATACAAGAATGAAGCCACACTCTTGCGAGGTTACTCAATGCCTATGGCTTCGTGTGGCAGCTTCATCTTGTGAATAGTCACTTGGGACCTGCCTGACATGAGCAGGTTGCAAGAGAATCGAAGAAGAATACACGAAATGGTACCGAATAAAAGATAATAGAATAGAATATTGTAGATTAAAAAGCGCATTTTATATCATATATGCTATTGAAAGGCATCAGCTGTAGTCACATTGAGAGACTAGATAAATTTATTTATTCGAATTAAGTATTGTTTTTCGTGATTACCAGTAAATCAGTTATAAGATCTATTCACCCAATATCGTTTAAGGCGATGAAGGACTGGTGGAAGTAGAATTTTCGCACAAATGCTATGAGTTGAGCTGACGTTTCCATTGAATTTTTACAAAGCTCTGCTTTCCCAAAAGTAGTTCTCATCCACCCTGAAAACGTCAGCTCAACTCATATTATTTGTGGGAAAATTCTACTTATACCAGTCCTTCATCAGCTTAAGCGAAATCGGGTAAATATATCTTATAATTAAATTTAGTTTATGTGAAAAAGTTTTATTTTCATTTATTTGTGGTATTTATGAATTTACATTTTTATTAAAAATGAATATTATTATTATTCTTATAAAGTAAAAAATGATACAATTTGCATTTGATAAAACGTCTGTATTACTTGACGGAAAATCCAACTCAAGCACAATTACAAGCAGTTTATGCTTTATGCGTTGACCGGGCACGATGGAACTCCTTTATGACGCATATTTCATGCTAATGAATGCTCTCGGGATTCTGCTTAAGGGAGACTAATAAAAACTTGTTCATTTCAAATGTATTCCATTGGTTCAGAACAATTCAACAGTATAGCCAGACTATAGTTATTTCATAGAAGTGGGTTGACCTCGTTGTCGCAACTTGGTCTTGTTTTCAGGGAGACCATGTAGAACGC